TTTTTTTTTCTTGCAACATCGAAGCGGGTGCGCCAGGCAAACAGGAGAGAATTTGTCCCGACGACAGTACACAAATAAGCAAATAAGTGAGGTGCAGAAGAAAATGAAGAACCAAAGAGCGCCCCAAGACAACAAAAAGAAAACTCAACTCTGCCCACGCCCATGCTGGAACTTCACTCAACAGTACAGTAATAGTGTCGATCCATTTCGTTCTTTGTTGGCCCCGTAAGCGTGGGCGCTACACCATAAATCGAACACAACCTCATTAGTGCCGGTACCGGCACTAATGAGGGATTGGCCAGCCCTCAATAGTGCCGTTTTGGCACTATTCGCAATAGTGCCGGGTGCCCGATTTAGTGCCGGGGAACGCTCTGTGCACGTACCGGCACTAAAAGGGTCCCTCGACTGTACCTAATAGTGCGTCCTGCTGTGAAAATATAACAGAAACAAGGAAAAAAGAAAAAAAAACAGACTCCGTGGGAGAACGAACCGTGGATGTTTTGTGGTTTTACCCGTAACTGTATTGCGGTTTCATCCGTGCTCGTGTGACGGAGTAGCTCAAACCGCTCCGTGGAAAAAACGCTTGTACGGATCTTTTGGAAGCTCCACGAAGCGGAGCGGTTTATCCGAGGGCAAAATTCTCACGGAGCGGTTTTTCTGGAGGGAAAGTATCACGGAGCGGAGCGGAGCGGTTACAACCGCTCCGCTCCGATTCGCTCCGTGGAAAAAAATCGCTCCGTGATATAAACTGCCCTGGTAGTTCGACAAACATGCATTTCCTGCCCATCCTGATTCTTCTAGTCAGGCCGCGATTGGCTCGTACGCAGAGGTGGGAGTGGAAAGCATGGACGCGGTATGGGTTCTTTAGCCCACGCGTAGTTGTGCCACAGAATGAGATCCCTAATTGTAGGTTTGGCCCATGGACACGCCTCTGCAACACCTCGTAGTTCATGTGGCCGAACAGCATTCAAACCACCATCCGCAAAACAGCAACGGTCGCGACACGCGACAACTACACGTAGTAGCTCGTCGCGGAGTCAGAGAAACCCTGAGAGACACAGCAGTGACAACTGTCAAAAGAAAATATAGATCGGGTTGCGCTGTGTTGTAGCACAGGTCCACGAGGCGAGACAAAACACGAAACAGGGTAATTTTTCACCCCACAACACTACTGCACCCCGCTGCTCCCCTCTTGTGGATCAAAATTCGCGCGACGAAACAAAGCAGAAGCCTCGGCTCATTCCGGTCACTTCGATTCGGCCGTTGAATCCATTAAATCCAGCAGATCGTCCAAGCCATCGTCGTCGCCTGGTCTCCCGCCGTCTTCGTCATCCCCACCCTTCGCTCCCGCTGTGCCGTGGGCCCCGCCACCAGCCCTCCTTGTGTCTACCTCTTTCCTCCCACTGCCGTTGCCGCCGTCGATGTCGTCGGACAGCTCAAGTTCCCGGAGCATCTTGGCACACCCCGTGTGGCTCGAGGCGAGGTCGATGGTGACGGTTTCCCCCTGACGGTAACGTGCATGCTCATGTCATTTATTATGCGAATGACGATAGACTGTATGGATGGCTAACCACAGTCTAATATATGCATGTGCGATGCACGATGTAAAATAATCGGAGAGCATCCATGGACAGGGAAAGGTGCAATGCCGTCGTTGTGGTTTGTGGCTGCTCGCTTGGTGTCTGTGGTTCAGGGCACGTAGGTCGCGCATGCTGTCATTTCTTCGGAGCTATCGATCTGCAGTCCAAGCAGTTAAGCCTCCGTTCAGAATTTAGTCGCATTTCGTCCTCTCAGAACACGAACGTGGAGACAGATCCACCCATAAATAAATGCAGCATCCAAGGCCCGTTCTGAGAATACGTACGCCCTTACATACACCCGAAAGCACGCCCACAAAAGCAACAAGGCGCCACAGAGGGACACACATCTACCTCAAAATCGTCATCATCGCCTCCCTTTGCCTGAGCCGCGTCGAACGGATCTTCGGGAAACAGATTGATCTTGAACGAATCTCTCTGCCCACCCCGCCGCTTGGCGCCCCCCTCCCCCCCCCCCCCCCCCCCCCCCCCCCCCCCCCCCCCCCCCCC